AGTGTCGGGAGAACTGCAGCAGCAGCCCGTGGGCTGGAGGGGCCTAGAACAGTGTCCCCCGCAGCCCTTCCCAGAGCCGGGCTGTCTGTGTGTCTGTGAGCCAAACAACCTGACCCCGTGTCGCTGACCGCTGTGCTGACCGCTGTGCTGACCGCTCCGCCCCCACAGGAACTGTGGCCTCGGTGCTGCAGAAGGCGGAGGTGCGGATCATCAACGACACGGTGTGCGACCAGCTGATGTCGGGCCAGATCACCTCCAGGATGATATGCGCGGGGGTCCTGAGTGGGGGAGTCGACGCCTGCCAGGTACGGGGGCCCCGTCCCGCAACGGGCGCCCTAAAAACTACAGGCCGAGTGTCTGACCAGGCTGACGGACGCGGTCTGTCTGCGTGTCCCCTGTGGACGGCCAGGTCTGGCGGTGTCCACTCTCCGTGTCCAGGCTGTTGTCCTAGGGCAGTGTACATCACTCTTGCGGTCTGTCCCCGCCTCCGTGTCTCCTCTCACCTCCTCCTCTCTCTCCGCTCAGGGGGACTCGGGCGGCCCGCTGTCCAGCGCGGAGACCAACGGGCGCCTGTTCCTGGCGGGGGTGGTGAGCTGGGGCGACGGCTGCGCCCGCCGGAACAAGCCGGGCGTGTACACGCGGGTCACGCAGTACCGCGGCTGGATCAAGCAGCACACTGGCGTGTGAGGAGCCGGGACCGCTGGGCGCCTGGGCCCGGCTGTGAAGAACTTTTTAAAACTGGTTTTCATTTTATTTTATTTTATTTTATTTTATTTGTTGTTGTGAGGGGAAGCTCTACCACTTATGAATTTAAAAGGATGTAAATAAATCTCGTGTTTCCGCTTGGCCTTTTTAACCACAGTGCTGTGTTCGTGATTAGTTTGTATAGCGGTGTTGTCGGGGGACCCCCCTGCGCCCCCGCGCCGTGGCGTCTGGGGCCCGAGCCGGCCTGGTCATCGAGCTGCCTGCACAGAGGAAACGGCCCCGGAGCCGGGGGTCTCGCTGGACTGACCTGCTCTCGTGCTCTCGCTCGCCCCTCGGTGAGGCTCCTGAGCTCCGGCCTCCTGCTCGGGATGGGGTCCCTGGTCCAAGTGTCAGATGAGCCCTGCCCCAGGGATTTCTCTAAATCGTCCGTTCGTTTGCTGTTTTTAATTTTTTTGTGTTCCAGCGTTGTAAATATCCGTCGGAGCTGGCACGTTTCGCAGTCGTGCGGCGATGGGAGATTAACGGTGCCACAGTGGCAAATAAATTGTTGGGTGTTTAGTGGTTTTCCTTCTCCTTCTCTTTTTTGCGCCGGTCCCGCCCGGACCGCTGCAGGGGGGAGCTCACAGTCGCCTCGAGCAGTGAAGGTGCCAGCAGGCCCTCGTGGGGGGCGAGACCCCTGCTCTGACAGGCTGGACGCCTTGGGGGACGTGGGAGGTTCTTGGGAAGAGAGGTGGGGATCTCCCGGGAGTCCATCTGCAGGGGGGGGGGGCGTTTAGGTGTCAAGTGTCGCTCTTCCAGGAAAGCGAGTCGTCCGGGTTACTTCCTCCTCCCTCCGTGGTTTCGGAGCAGTGGATCTAATCGCTCTTATCGTCTGGCTCTCCAGCTAATCTCCGCTGCTCGTGTGCGCCTTCGGGTCTGGGAGCAGGTCACTGCACTCCTGCAGCCGAGCCTTTCCCCAGCACGAGCAGGGAGTGATGAGGCCGGCTGCAGGAAACCCAGTTGAAATCCCGACTGAAGCGATTCGGCTGATGCGGTTCGGAAAAGACCGTGGGTCGTCTTTCTGAAGGATGCAGTCGTTCCCGCCGAGAAACAGTGGGAGAGTGGGTGTTGTGGGAGTGGGCCTGATGTGAACAGGTCGCGGGGTGTTGCTAGTGAAGCCCTAGGATCTCAAGGGAAGAGCACAGGGAGACAGTCGCCAAGCAGTGTAGCCGATCATCCCTGATCAGGGCCAAGCTCTTCCAGGTCTTTAGAAGGTGGTGACCTGCTTGCCTGGGGGTCTCCAGGACCGGGGTGGGGGGGGTGTAAAGGATCAGACACTCCCACTGTGCTTGGAGCCGATCTAACTGACTACCTGTGCCGATGCCTGTAAAACTGTGTGTGTGCGCGCACACTATCGTGGGCGTGTACAGATGATGCATTTTCAAGCAAAACTGTCGGATTAGTAGAGATCGTTTGTTAATTTTATCCCTGCATGTCTGAATTTACTCTCTCCTGTATGGGTTAGGACTAAGATGGCGATATGTGTAAATCTGTGTTTCTTATTATGATGGGTGTTAGGATCTGAAATGCGTCCAGTCTTAGTGCAGGAAAGCCTGAAGCGGTCTCCTGACCCAGTGGCATTTTCGCCCCGCCTCAGTCCCATTGCTGTGGGGAGCAGGTGCTGTGTCTCCCACTAAAAAGCTCCAGGGCAGTGGGACGGCCGTGTGCCGTGCTGACGACGTCTCGGCCAAGCATGTGAACCCAGGGGCTGCTTTCCAGGCGAGGAGCGTGCTGCACCTGATGTCACTGTCACTGGCGTGGCTGTGACATCATCACAGTGACATTATTGCAGTGACACCCTCACCGTGATGTCATTATCCAAACCGTCGTCGTCTTTGTTATAGCGGCACAGGGCGTGGACCGGGACGGCCGTGCTGGGATCAGAGTGAACGCCAGGAATCCCTCCTCTGTCCCACTGTGGGGACAGTTGGCATTCCCACTTCGTGCCTTGTTAAAGACAATGCTGCCAAAGATCTTTGTGACTCTGCTGTCGGTGTTGTTTTAATCTGTAAAATAAAAATGAACTGAATGACAAATCCGTGTTTTTTTCTTGTTCGGGTGCTGCAGAGGTTTTTGAGGAACAGCAGTTAAGTTCCGCTCTGCGTGTGCCCCAGAGCCATGCCTTTCACCCCCGGAGTCGAGTTTTATTATTCAAGCAAACAGCTCCTGGCGAGAGGAGCCGTCCAGTCCATCCAGCCCACCCAGCCCACCTGGTGGCTGAGAGAAACCAGGGCATCGGCTTCAACGGCACGGCTGGGCACCTGCACGTACTTGAACTGGGGGAGAAATAGACACAAGCAGATTCTTCAAGTAGAAAACGTGTTATCCGGTTAATTTGCTTCTCAAAGAAAAACAGAAGGCCGATAAGAGCTTTAAAACAGTCAACCGCGCACAAAGAGACATTCTGAGCAGATTTGCATGCCCAGTGCCTGATGTGGGCGATAAGCCGGTTTGCTCTTCTGCGGAAGAGCCTATCGGCCTGGTCCCTCTGCTGCTCTCGTTTGCAAGGGGAGACGGGAGGGAGTCCGTGGCCAGCACCTGACAGGAGAGGAGCATGTTTCGGACGCTGTGGCTGTTCTGCTTTCTCCCTGGACCTCTCGCAGGTACGGTCTCCCTCTGAAAGACGTGAGGGGTCTCGGCCATGACTGGCAAGATCTTCGGTCAGGTGTGGCAATGCAACTGTGCTGATCGTTGTAACACCTTCGGGAGCTGATATCAGAATTGGAAGGGATGACAAGTGCATGTTTTTTTTCCTAGGGATTCTACATCCCTTATGATAATGTAAAAAATAGCAAAAATCCTTAAAAGCATGTTGTTTTGTGCATACTTGCTAGCTTTGCTACATGGTTTTATAGTGAGATTTTCTCAAGATATTACTTCATGAAGTGTTTCGGTTGCCTCAGAAAGGCAAGATAAATTTAAAATCCAATCGTGTAACATGGTATCACATGCTTCAGGGAAGGCTTGAGCTACGTGAACCACTCATGACTGTCGTAATTGGACCAGGACATCAGAGGCAGCCCAGCTTGCAGTTCACTGCAACAACAGCAGACAAGAATCGGGCATAGTGCAGGTCTGGTTGGGTCTGATTTGTGGGTGCCCAGAGTCTCGTTGGGTCTCAATGGAGTCTGGTAAATTGTGGGTGTCCAGAGGTGGTGCGTTAACTATGTTGGTACCCAGAGTTCAGGTGTGTCTGAATCAGGAGTGCTCAGTGTTTTAAATTTTATACCTGCCTCAATGATTCACCAGGGTAGCTTCAACCCTAAGCAGCGATTCCTGCAGGACAGGCTTGAAGGGGATTTTCCGGGCCTGTCTGCGGTGTGAGCTCCAGAGTGCCCTACAGCACGGGCCCTCTCTATTTCACTTCTCAACTGTTTCGTGAGACTCCACCCCCCCGCCGGGAGGGCACCCTGCTCTGCCCTCTGTGTGCTGGAGGTCAAGTCTGAAGTCATATCTGCTCTGGAGCTCCAGCTGATCGATGAGTTCTTGAGCGAGATCCCAGAGAGATCTACAGAGCCCTGAGCCGCAACATCCGGAGTCTTGAAAAAGCCCTCGCATGAGACTGCGTTTTGGTTGTGCTCTAGATTTCTCTGTATTTTACTCCTTTTTCTTCATGTTTTGGATTTGTTCCGGGTTTTTCTTTGCTTAGTTGTTAGCCAGTCTAGGGCAGGGAGCTAGCCTGGCCTCCAGAAGGCTTTCCTCCTGTTGAATCTGTTGTGTTTTTGGGTTTACAGATTTTCTTACTGATAGGGTCCCTCGCGTTTCTGCGCGACTAGTTATCCAAGGTTACCCAACTAACCTTGTACCGGAAATTGTTCAATGAACTACTACTCTGTCTTTTTTAAAGGCACAAGCGCTGTTTTCTGTGCTGTGATTGTTCTTGTGGCTGATCAGCAGCCCCACGGGACACTCTCAGCTTGGGGGAGGGAGTCCAGCCGGGGGCGCAAGGCGACTCCTGGAGGATGTGCAGGTGGTCTGTAGCCTGAAGGACTGTGACTGTGACGGAAGCCTGACCCTGACCTTTAACCCCAACAGGCACTGGGGCCTCACAATGCCCCGACTTCCTCTCCGTGGCCCCACCCGCCCTGGAGGTGAGAATGCTGGGGTTCGCGGCTGAGGGCGGCCCCTGCGGGCGCCCCCTCAACATGACGGCACCAGGGGGGCTCGGGGCGTACCCCTGGGACCCCCGGCTCCCCAGCGTGCTGATCGTGCATGGCCGGCGGCCCCCCCAGGTGCGGCCCCAGTGGGTGGGCCAGCTGGCCCGAGAGCTGCTCTCCACCCAGCGGCTCAACGTCCTGGCTGTGGACTGGCTGTCCCCTCGCGGGCGCGGCCTGGTGCCCACCGCCAGGCAGGCGGGCAGGAAGCTGGCCTGTCTGATCCGGGCGCTGCTGGTGAGTCGGGGCTCTGTGTTCGCGGGGGGCCGTGTGGGAGGGCAGGCGAGCAGGGCCTGGCCACGTCTCGATCAGCACCTGCAGGGGAACCTGGACCTGCAATCAAGCAGTGTTTTGGAAGCCTCTTCATCTTATTTTAAAGGCCTCACATTTTAAAGGAATGTGTACACGTGCCTTAGATCAGTCACTAGGAATAGTCACTCGGAAGGGTCACGTCCTTAATTCCAGGAAAGAAGAGACAGTATTCAGCACAGGGCTGACGGGAGTCTTGTTTGGCTTCGACAATTTTCCGGCTCTGCCTGGGAGACGTGGGAGGCGGGTGCGTCTCAGGGGCAGGGCTGGCTGATGGTGGGTCTCTTCTCCAGGCCCGTGGTTCCTCAGCTGAGACGATCCATCTGATCGGCTTCGGAGTCGGCGCTCACATCGCAGGGAATGCTGGGGCTGCCCTGCGCGGCTGTCTGGGGAGGATTACGGGTAAGGACAGAGCCTCCCGGACACACCGGAGAGGAGATCGGATCCAAAATTGGTTTGCAGGGGTGGAGCCACGGGCCCAGACCCACCCTGATTGGTCCCAGACCTACCCATACAGACCAAAGAAATTGAAGATTTTATTTCTCTTGTTTGCATTACATGATTTGCTTTTTAATGTTACTTGTTTGCTTTTTTCATCGTTTGTGATTTGCGATTGGCTCGCTGTATCTTTTGTGACCAATAAGAAAGTGATGTAAATGTAGGGGGCGGTGCATGCGTAGCCGTAGCCTAATTGGCTGTCGTTGTCGTCAGACGCTCTTAGAGCTCTCTAGCGCCGCGTTTTTGGTTTATTAGCCAACTTAATATTTTAATACCTTCGCAGTTTTTATTCTTATGGCGCCTCACTCGATATTATCCTTGTTGGGATCCATTTACTCCAACCTCAGTCAAACCACAGCAGTGCACTTGCATTCACCCACCAGAAAGAGCTGTCTCCCCTTTCTTCCAAATGCAAAGAACAATTACTTCTTCTAGGAAAAGCGGGGAGAATTCCCTGATCCAAGAGGATCATCAGACACTGCTCCCAGACAGGAGCTCCAAATGTCTGTCAGGTTTTAGTGGCCTGCATGATGAATTTAGGAACAAAATGCGATTGTTTACGCAGGAAATGCGTGTGTATGTGTGCGAGAGAGCAGTGAACGAGAGATCTGCAGGGTAGGAAATTGACCTGCCTGCTTTTGGTTTTATTCCCAGGACTGGACCCATTCGGACCCGAGTTCACAGAGGCTGGCCCCAGCGTCGGGCTGGACTGGTCCGACGCTCAGTTCGTGGACGTTATTCACGCCAACTTCAGACGTGAGTCCCTTGCTCTCGGAGAAACAGCCTGAGGAAGAAACGTGTCTTTACACAGCACAACATGCCATGTGGTGGAAGGGGCTCGCTGACCAGCTGACGTGTACAAACGAGCCAGGAGGACAGGGAGACTTTCCTCGGTGGGGCCCTGCAGCCATCTCTTCACTGGCGCTGAAGAGGCAGGGGAGAGAGGGAAACACAGAAGAGCAGAAATAGTTCTGTTCAGAAAGAGCACACCTCCCAGCCCTTCCTTTAACGGGGAAACAGCAGCCCCGGCTCTGCGATTTATATCACAATACAGTTCTCAGAACGACGAGGAGCATCACAGCCGCCCCCACACGCACAAGCCTCTCTCAAGTCACAGCACTCCCATGTGGGAGACGGTACAGGGAACCCAGTTCAAATACAAACATTCATAAGAACTCTTTTGTCCCTACTGCAATGTGCTCAGTGAAGCTGTGTAAATGTCCCACCACTTCCTGTTTATTTGTGTATCACATACTGTTGTGGTGATTTCATATGATTTTATGCGACTCTTGCGTGTTGCTTGCGTGTTTTGTGCTTCCTTGGGGGAAGCCAAAGTCGGATTTCCACAGTAGTGGAGAATAAAGTGTCTGTCTCCCCGCCTGTCACAGCAGGAGCCAGAGGAAGACAGCCGTGTGCTGGCGGAGCTGCTCCAGTCCGCTCACGCCTGCTGCCCTTTGTTTTCCAGCCAACGAGCCGGTGGCGGCCCTGGGCTCCGCACGGCCCCTGGGCCACGTGGACTTCTACATCGGCAAGGGCCACCAGCTGCCCGGCTGCCCCCCCGGCCTCCTGGACCGTGAGTGTTTCCGTCACCCGGGAGACTGGGAGCCCCGAAATCTGAGCTCCGGGGCCTGTGTTCAGCCCCTCCCCACCCCAGCTCCGGGGGTCGTGCAGGACTCGCACCTGCGCCCCTCCCTGCCCACTTCGTCCACGTTTGTCCAGCACTCTGTACAGCGACCGCCCCGAGACAGCGGGTGCGCGGCGGGGCCCTCCGCTCCTGGCCAGGCGGTCCAGGGGAGCTGGGTCAGGCCTGTGCTGTGTCTCGTTTCAGGGGAGAGGTACGTGCTGTGCAGCCACTGGAGGGCTCACCAGATCTTCACCAGCTCCATCCGCTCCCACTGCCCTCTCTTCGCCTTCCCCTGCCTCTCGCGCCACGGCTTCGAGAGAGGCCAGTGCACACACTGCCACACGGCGGGCCTGCACGCCTGCCCACAGCTGGGTGAGAGAGACAGCACCGACGCCGAGAGGACTGACCACTAACACACCGCGACAGGGAGAA